GGGAGCTGGGCTGTGCCGTGGGCTCCTTAGCCGGGAGCTGGGCTGACAGCAGCATGCAGCAAGGCCAGGCTGCTACAGATGTTCTATTTTTAGACACAGCATTCTAATCCTATAATATTACTGGTGATAAGTGTTGAAAATTGAAAGAAACGTGGTCACCTGTAGGCAACTAAAATGACATATAACTCAGACAGAAATTATTGCCATGGCAACTAAAAGAGTAACTGCTGCTCCAGCCTTTTAAGTTATTTTTATTAAAAAAACATGATGCCTGTGGGCGGTGTTGAAAGTCTACACTGTATCTATATGTTTTCAAATATTTATAAGCCAATTCAATTATATGAGAATCATATATTTCAATCATATATCATGTTTTCATAAAATTCAGGCCTAAAAGATGTTCATCAGAATTTGTTTTTGCAATACATGGGTTGAAAATATTCTACATTGTCGAATCTTTAATGAGAGGTTGCAGCACCAACACAGGATCTTCAGATTCTGCTTAGGAATTTTGCACTGAATACAACAGAGGGATCGCTACATCCTACAGGATCTTGAATATATAGTTGAATAAGGTCTTGATCAGCTACTATGTCTCATTCCTCAATGGCTTCCTCCTGGTGCTCCAGACTCCATCCACATTCTAACGACATGCTGGTGGGTTAATGGGCTCCTGGGAGACCTGGCCCTGCATGAGTGCGTGTCTCTGTGTGCTCTGCAAAGGACTGGTGTCCTGTCCGGGGTGCACCCTGCTTTGTGCCCATTGCTTGCTGGGATAGGCTCTGCTCCCCTGTGACCCTGTACTGGATAAAGGAGAGAGATGGATAGATGGTATAAAATGCAGCTCCCAGTCATGTTGGACCTCCCTCTCTGCCACAAGACATCATCACTGATAAACTCAGAAGAGTGATTTTGAAATCCTTTATAAGCTTATAAATGGGGTTGTCAAACTATTTGTACATCCTGTGAAAACAGTTCTTAGACCTCAGTTCTCAAAACACGTGAACTCAAGACTTTATATTTTTGCATTATGTGTCTTGATGTTTCTGTATTATGTACCTCAGACATCCAAATACAAGGCAATCTTCCATGTGAAATCTGCAGTACTGGAATAAAGCATCTACTGTTCTGTACATTTTCTCCAGAAGAGAAAACTCAAATGTCCAGTTTTAGGAGAGCTCCTTTTGAATGTTCTCCAATTGCTCTGCTCTATTGAGTGACAATGTTACTTATGCAAACAGTTTCCGCATTGGCTTTTGTAAAATCACTAGGAAAGTATAAACAACAGCCAGGAACAACTGGCAGCCCTTCAGATTAGACATAAAACTGAGGTCCTGACTCTCTGTGGTTATTAAAAATCCCAGGACGAAAGGAGTAGGGGTGTAACCCCGGCATCCTGGCCAAATTTCCCCTTGGCCCTTACCAGTCATGGCCTCCTAATAATCCCCATCTCTGAACTGGCTTCATTACTCTGCTCTCCTCCCCACTGATAGCTGGTGTAAAGTGAGCTTTCTGGTGCACTATGGCTGCCGTCGCATCATCCAGGTGGGGCTGCACACCGCTGGTGGTGGAGGGGAGTCCCCATTACCTGTAAAGCGCTTTGAGTGGAGTGTCCAGAAAAGCGCTATATAAGTGTAAGGAATTAATAATAATAATATGGAACTTTGTGTTTAATACATAATGGATTTCCTGTTGCCTTTAAAAACTATTCCCTGCAGGAGCAATAAAAATGAATGTTTGACATTTGTATGTGACCTGTGGCCACATACATACAAATGTCCTTCTCTTTAAGTTCTTCTCTTGCAGCAGAAGAACTTATAAACATCACTCCTATTAAAACATTTCTGCTTACTTGAACGTTAGCTCTCAACACCCCCTTTTCTCTCATGGTTTAAAATTGATGGATATTACTTAGTTTCAGTAAGCTCCACCTGGTGGTTAAAGATCATCACTGGTGAAGATCTTTTCTAGGCTCGTCGTCGGTAAAAAAAAAACAACTTAAGTTTGTTTTCATATTCGCCTTGGGAGTAGTGCAGAGGTGCATTGGGAAATGCATTTTTCAAATGTACAGTGCAGATAATTACAAGACCTTAGATAAGGTACTTCATACATGTTTGAAAATGTGGTACTCGTCTGAAGTTTTCTGTCTGCCAATCTGCCACTTGGGTCTTGTAGGAATGCGTATTTTACAGCTAAGACAGTGAATAGCAAGACTGGGCTGCCATAACAAATTAGAAAAGTAAATCTTATGCTGGAAGACTAACATCTAAGGTGACAGACCTAATAAAAATTGACCTAAAAACCCAAATGTATGGTAAACAAAATACTTATCCATGTATAACACTTTGAATAATTTGTATATGTACATAATGGCAATACATTGTTATAAAATATAGCCAATTTGTAAAGTCATTTGTGTGAAATGTTGCCTTTTCTTGCCTTTTGCTTACCGAGTCCCTTAGTTCTCTTCCTTTTTCGTCATGATTTTAATCTCTCCTTTGAAGCCACAAACAGTATTCAGTACCAAATTCAGGGATGTCAATGGGGAAACAATGGTGTTGATCCAGGTTTTCACATTGCAGGGTTCAGATGCTGTTTTTGTGTCTATTATAGAAAAACTGTACTCCTCTTCTGTGTTGTAGGAATTAGAAATACCAGTGTTTTTGTATGTTTTGGGCATTTTTAACAAAAGGGGAAGTTGTCTCGTTAATAAGTGTTTTATTTTTCACTATATTAAATTATAATCATAGAGATCATATTAAATTAAGTATTACACCCTGCAGTACAAGCAATTATTCTTCTGACAGCTGAGAAGTGTAATTGGAAGTGTGAAATACTTCTTCAGTTCTATAAGATGTTGCACATTGCCAGGTTTTCATCTTTAATTGAGCCTTTGTTATTTATTAAAAAAAATGGACTCCTAAAGTTCACACTGTTAACAGGCATCTTATACAACCAGAGATGGAAGATGATGTAGTATATAATCTCAACATTTTAGTGTTCAGGCACTTTAATTGGGGGAAAAAAGACATCGTTATAACTAATTCACCTTTGGTCTGTTAACAGACTCACAAGGGAAGACGTAAAGACTGCAGGTTGAATATTTGTGCATTAGAAGCCTTTGTTTCATCTCCCCAGTGTACTATTGAAGTCGCTCACAGACTAGCAGACAGTACTGAGGTACACTATATTAGTACACTATATTAAGTGGTGCAGAATTTGACAGTAAAAATGAGGTTCTCACTTGTTTCTCATTATTTTCCTAGGATTACCTGTTTGCCCTGAGCTGACGAGGGATCGCATCCCAAAATCGCGGGATGTGGGGCACTTCCTTTCCGTCACGGGAACGGTCATCCGTACCAGCGTCACCAAGGTGCTGGAGTTTGAGAGGGACTACATGTGCAACAAGTGCAAGCACGTCTTTGTGGTCAAGGCTGACTTTGAGCAGTTTTATACTTTCAGTCCCCCGACTTGTTGTCCAAATGAAGAAGGCTGCAACTCCTTCAAGTTCACCTGCCTGTCTGCTCATTCCTCAGTCCCAGCCAGGTGCAGGGACTACCAGGAAATCAAGATTCAGGAGCAGGTGAGCTCCAGACTAGTGTCACAACACCGCATGCTTCAGTTTTCAGCTATGTAAAACATGCACAGTTAAAAGGTATTTATGTATGCATACTAAAATTGTAGTAAGTCATAGTTATTACATAGTTCATAAAACCTTACAGTTTTTCATGGCTATAATATTTAAGTCCACTAGGTGGAGACCAGGAGCTGCATGATTCCTGTACAGTACAACTTCATGCATTCCTGGGTCTGATTGTGGATTTGTTGTCCTTTTACAGCACACAGTGTTGTGCATTTTCTAACTTCTGTATTCATAGCCTGGCTAGGAGTTAATAAAGACATGATTAATAAACAATGTGTTCTTTATTGATATTATTTTTTCCATCCTCAGGCCCAGAGGTTATCTGTGGGAAGTATTCCTCGCTCGATGTTGGTTGTGCTGGAGGATGATTTGGTTGATGCTTGTAAATCCGGTAGGATACAGTTTCAGACAGTGTCTCTTTTGTGCTTTCCTTCAGGTCCCGTGGCAGAAAATTGATGAAGTTGCTGAGGCTCAATGTAACCCTAGTCTCCTCTATATCAGAATTGCATCTTTAGACCTCAAATCTTAGCGGTCTGATTTCAAATATAATTGATAAGAGTGAAAGAGCCTTTAATTTTAAATTTTCAGTGAAGAAATATTTAATATTGACCCATCTGGCAGGACGTTCTGCAAAAAATAGTGCTTCTTCAGGTCCGTTCATTGTGTGATGCGGAACCTCCCTAAGCTTCGAATGTTATTCAGTCTTCATTCATGACACTCCAGCAGGAGTTAATGTTAGAAGGACTAGATCATCCCTCAGCAGTGCTGGTCCCACTTCCACAACTGGGTGGACTGGAGCGCCTGGATAATGTACTGATCTTCTTTAAGGGTGCAACATCAGAGTCAGTAGCAGGTATTTAAACCCACAACCTCTCCGTCATGAGTTCAAAGGCTCACCCACTGCACTGCGACACCCCCGATAAACTAGGGGTTAAGAATAGTTGAGGAATAGGAGGTTAAAATTATAAATAAGAAGATCAGGTCTTGCCAACAGCGTGCTATTGAAGCAAACTGCTAAAAGTTAATTTCCTACCACGTGGTACCAAGGAAAGACCTGAGTGGTAATATGGTGTATATTTTTATTATTCTCTGGTATGGCATGGTAAAGAATTATTAATTAGGAAGCAAAGCTTAAAAAGACAAATATCCAAAAAAAACTCAAGACAAAACATTCAATACTATCGTGTGCAAATGGTTCTGTGTTTCACAGGCAGAGGAAACCAGAACTCTATAGTCTATAACTGAGGCACCAATACCATGTAGGGAAAAGATGGCTGAATTATATCTTGTAAAGATCCTGCTCAGGACTAAGTAACTCCCTAAAGCATACAGAATGATAGGGAGCTGCAGTATTTCATGTTTTCTCAGAAGTGTAGTACTAAACAAACAAGATTTATTTTAGCTTTTTGTGTACAAAAATAAAACAAATCATTATTACTACAAATATAAGCCACAAGTCCCTTATATAAATCCAATTTTCAGTCTCTTCAGTGCTCAAATTAGCTGGATGTTTTGAAGTCTATACATGGCATGCTCGCTAACAATGTCTCCTCTTTCTACTCTATACGGTTTTTAAGATTCAGGTTTCTGTGATCTTTTAATCATATCTTCTGTGTCTAACTTCAAGAAAGCTGACTGAATGATTTAAGCACAATTGGTTCAGTCTCAGTTTAAATTAGTACAACTGCTCAGCCTCAGGTGATAAAGTAAAGGGGCAGTGGAGCAGATGCTACAAAGAATGCTGATTTTCTGTCTCGGGGGAAGGCGTCTTGTGATGTGAAATTGGCACATTGCGAGCCCCTGACACTCGGGTGATTTGTTCCACAGGCGATGATGTCACAGTGTATGGCATTGTGATGCAGCGGTGGAAGCCACTTTATCAGAATTCACGATGTGAACTGGAAATAGTGTTAAAGGGCAACTTCATTGAAGTCAACAATGAACAGTCTACAGCAGCAGTTGTTACTGAGGATGTCCAAAAGGAATTTAAAGAGTTCTGGGAGAAATATAAAAACAACCCTTTAGCAGGTAATTTTTTTTTTAATCATTGCTTTCATTTGATTTTTTCATTTGATTCAAATTTAGAAAGTTTGGATTTTTTCTTCATTCTGTGGACCCTTTTTCATGAACCCCAGTTCTGACTTTAACATAAGTGTTCCTGTGATCTTTACTTTAGAACAATTGCATTTCTTCTTTTCTAATTGACTCCTCTTTTTGTCCCATACAAAGGCGATGCCCCTTTTTTGACTATTAGCATGCAGGTTGTTTGTTTTTCTGTTTCTCTATTGCCTATTTTTCTTCTGTACAAAGGCAGGAATCAGATTCTGATGAGCCTCTGTCCCCAAGTGTTTGGAATGTATGTTGTCAAGCTCGCGGTTGCCATGGTGTTGTCAGGCGGGGTGCAAAGAGTTGATGCATCAGGGACCAAAGTCAGAGGTTAGTGTCTTCAACAATGGCCTTTAAGCGTTCCTAGGGAAGTGACTTTCCCAGGGAAACTTTCATGAAAGCTCAAAATTAAAAGTTTATGTCAGTAAGGCTCAGTGTCTAGGAATCAATAAAGCCTTTTCTCATTTGGTAAAGACTGTAGCCTTGTAGGAAGTAACATCAAGGCCTGGTCCAACCTTCATCGGGTCCATCAGTTGCCAGTTGTCAGGCTGGTATTTGTGGGCAACGTTTTATTGGCTAGAAGCCATCTTCCCTTCTACCTAATGTGAAAAGACAAATTCCTAATGCAAGAAATTGTATATGGCCAATAAAGTAATCATCTTCTGCTTCTTCTTCTTCTTAAGAAAATCTAGTTGGAGATTAGCAAGCTGATTACATCCAGATAAACAGAGGAGCTGTGATGTACTAACCGCTCTCTACATTTTGGAGATACAGTAGGAAGATCTTCCTGGGTCCACTTCTGCTGAGTGCTGGAAATAGTTTTGTAGGTTTTAGCTTTAGATGAGAACTCAGCCTCATTTTAACTTAATGCTGCACAGTCCTGAAAAGATCTCCAGAAGATGCAGATAACCTTCCCTAACATAGCACACCTGTGGCAGTGAAAATACATTTTTCTTCTTTAATGAAAGAAACATAGGTCAAGCTGATGAAATCTCTGATTATGTGCAGGACAAATTGAACAGGTTATCTCTGTGATAGGTTTCATTCTGACACTCTGCCACTCTGAAGTCTCATTATTTCGCATTGATCGTGTTTTTCATTAGGTGAATCCCATCTCCTGTTAGTTGGAGACCCAGGGACTGGGAAGTCACAGTTTCTGAAGTATGCTGCTAAGATCACACCTCGGTCTATCCTTACAGCAGGGATAGGCTCAACAAACGCAGGTAAGGGTAAAATACCCTTTCAGCTGATGCACCTGTTGCAGGAAAGTAAAATCCCTTCAAGGCACCTTGAAATAACTGAGGGTAAACCTTCTGGTCTTGAAGCCAAAACCCCCGACATCTGTCAGCAGGCTGGGATCCTTCAGAGCTGGAGGCTTGAGCTCATCCTCATCAGCCTTGCTGCTCTTCCCAAGGCTGGGCTTCATCCTGCCAAACTCTGTAAAAAAACGCAAAATAACTCCAAACTGAAAGACAGGGCCGAAATCAGTTAGAACTGCCCTGGAATAAAGTATTTCCAGTATTTAAATATGATTAGGAACAGGTAAATGTATATTCCATGCTGAAAAGAGAAGAAAAACACAGTGTTTCAGCTGTGGAGCCTTCTTCAGGTGGCCTTCTTCTTGACCCGAAGAAGGCTCCACAGCCAAAACGTTGTTTCTTTTCTTTTCCTTTCAGCACAGAATAAACCTTTACTTGTTCCTTTGCGGCCTATGCCTGCTGACACAGCTACGTACGTTACCAAACAACTAATAACCTGCCAATATAATTTAATTTATCTGCATTTTTTTTACCTTTATTTTGAGTGCAGATTTATGCTGAAAATCTATGGTTGTGTCCTCATCCTACAACTCACTTACCAATTATTTTAATATCTTATTTCATATGAAAATACATAGGATATTGTAATATACCCACACTAATAATAAAGGCATATGAAGTTCCCATTTTCCTGGGTGTGTTGCCAAGTGGTGAATGAAACTGGATGGTTTCCCTTCTCTTTCCTCGACAGTTCTTCCACATTCAAGGCACTCTGCTGCTCTCTTTGCACCAGATGTTTCTCCATGCTCATGTCCAAGTGGCACACCTGTATGCGTTTGTTCCCAAACCATCTTAACCATTTGACGAAATGCTAGGTCTTGCATGCCAGTTCAGTCATGTAATGACATCTGTCATGCGTGCACAGAATTTATAACTTGTATTATTGCACTGTATCCAGTAACCCTATTATTAAATTTTATTTCTGTAGTTGAAATTTTTAAAATTCAAAAGTACTTGTTAATCTCTAAATCATATTAGATGTGATTATAAACTAAATGCATTGTTCCAGTTGCTTTAGTTTTAATCCTACAGTTTATTCCCGGTCATACTTGAATTAACATAAGGAAGACATTATGGTAGTAATTCAGGTAGGTAACTGACAGCTTGAATACGATTTGCATTAATCCTATTAGAAAATTATTCACAAATTTAAATGTTTTTGATGTTTGGAATTGCATTTATATGCCTTAGGTTGCTATTGCACCCTCACTTTATTACTGTAGAAACTGTGATACTACCATTATTCTCACTTAAATACATTTAACATACAAAAAAATATTTTCAACAAATTATTACATTTCAGTTTGATTAATTAGGTGTGTGTTGCCAATTCCTCAAGAGAAGTAGCTTACAGTGTTTAGTGATTGCTCTCTTTATTAGGCTACTGTTTACTGGCTACTTTATTAGGCTACGGTATATTTTGGACTGTTCACTTGAGTATAATGTCACAAGTTCAAATCTCCAAGTCTCAAGTCAATTCCGAGTCGTTTAGCTTGAGTCAAAGTCGAGTCGCGAGTCGGTGAAAATAGAGGCTTGAATCCGAGTCAAGTCCATGTTTCCCCCTTTAGCCTCGAGTCCACAACTCGGCTTCCTTCAGGTGAAGTGTTAGACCAAGGTCCTGACTCGTGTCTCCCGTTCATAAGCGTGGGGGTGTTAACCCCAGTTCCCTGGCTAACCTTTGCTCTCGGGGCTCTGCAGTGAGTGAGCGTGAAGTTTCTGCCGCGCGGCCGGGGTGGGTGCTGAACGTCACTTCGGGTGAAGTGGGTAGAAAGTGCAGCACTTTCGGATCCCTGTGGATGCTGTGAGTTGCTGTTATTCTTGTATCCTTGCTGCCCCGATGGCTCCTAACGAGGCTGTTGGGCTGTGGCAGGGCTGACAGTGGCGGCAGTGAAGGACTCGGGCGAGTGGCACCTCGAGGCTGGTGCCTTGGTGCTGTCCGATGGAGGGCTGTGCTGCATCGATGAGTTCAACAGCATCAAAGAACATGACAGGACCAGCATCCACGAGGCCATGGAGCAGCAGAGCATCAGTGTCGCCAAAGCGGGGTAAGGACCTCATCTGGAGGCACGACGCATGCATTTTCGTTAATTACTGCCACCTGATACCGGCAGAAGAATGTTCTGGAGCAGAAATGAGTGAACTTTGAAGGGTTTTTATTAGTAACGGACAACTTTTATGATTATTTTCTTAATTTTCTCATTGTAAGTGACTTATATGAACTTTTCCTTGCTCCCTAGTTTAGTGTGCAAGCTGAACACCAGAACGACCATCCTCGCAGCTACTAACCCTAAAGGGCAGTACGACCCCAATGTGTCCTTGTCTGTGAACATTGCTTTAGCTAGTCCACTGCTCAGCCGCTTTGACCTGGTTCTGGTCCTGCAGGACACCAAAGTCGAAGAGTGGGATCGCACCATCTCTTCCTTCATTCTGGAAAACAAAGGTTCAAGTGTTTATTTTTTCTTTAAGAAAACCATCCAAAAGTTTTTTTGCTGAGCACTAAATATAATGCAGTATTTTTCCATCTGCCTTGTAGTTCTGGTGAAAGGATACTTGTGGTGAGGGATTAAATCTCCAATCTGAGACTTTGTTCCATTCTGCAATAGCATTTTAAGGGGACAGACTGCATACTAACTGAAGAGTGGAGTCTTGATAAGGCAGTCTCTGGAAATTACTATTTTTAATTTGTTGTTTTTTGTACTTGATCACTATAGTTTGAATAAAATGTATGTTTGGAGAACAGACCTCAAAAATCTTTGGAAATATTTTGGGAATATTTTGAGTGTGTCCTATTGGAGAAGATGCAGAATCCCATTTCCCTGAATCTCAAAGCATTTTTTTTCATTTCAATTTGAATTGTTTACAGATAATATTTGCAGCACCCATTTTTACCACAAATAGAATAATACTTATTTATCTTTTTTGTAAAAAACACATGTACTGTCGGAGTTCTTTTGCTCTGAAAACAGAGCCTTTTAACCTTTCTTTGTCTGTCAGGTGCGCCCACTGTATCCGACACATTGTGGACCCTCGAGAAGATGAAGAGCTACTTCTGTTTCATCAAGATCTTGCAGCCCAGAATGTCGGACGAAGCCAACGCTGTTCTCGTGCGATACTACCAGCTGCAGCGTCAGAGCAACAGCAGGAACGCAGCCAGGACCACCATTAGGATGTTAGAAAGCCTGAGCCGCTTAGCAGAAGGTATCAGTAGATACATTTGTCATAGAATTTGTAAGTGAAATCAGGATATTAAAACGTGGATCCAATTTTGAGAATTGTTATTTTGTCATCCCGTGGCAGGTGTTATTAACAAATATACTTGACTGTTTCTCTTCCAGCTCATGCCCGGTTGATGTTTAGGGACACTGTCACAGTGGAGGACGCAGTTACCGTCATTTCCGTCATGGAATGTTCCATGCAGGTGCTTTTCAATTTTAGTTATCATTCAATTTCTCATTACACTGAAGTTGAAGTAGAAGATATAAAGAAAGTTCTGGTGTTCTGGTTTGTTTTGATTTCAGGGAGGGTCTCTTCTGAGCAATATAAATGCCTTGCACACATCTTTTCCTGATGACCCCTGTGAGCAGTATCGCATGCAGTGTGAAATTATGCTTGAAATGCTGGGGTTAAAGCACCTTCTCAACAAGGAACTGGAAAGGCTCCATCGGTAAGACAGTTGTAACCAAAAGGTGTTATTGTGGTAGTTAGGACCATTCAAAGACTGCACTGAACAGTAGTTCAAGATAAAAAGAAACACTTTTTATCTTGAACTGAAATGGAAGTATTTCCTTTACAGGTAGTGTGGTACAGCCATACTCAATGCAAGACATTTTCCAATTGTGCTGTCTTCATCCGTGAAGTGGCTTCTTTACTGTGTGATCACACATCACTGTAGCTTTATTTATTCCAGGTCAGACTGGGCATAAACATTAAAATTCCCTGGCTGTTCTGGGAGTCAGTTAATCATTTGTTCATGTATTTTGCGTATTTTTCTCCCTAGGCTGAAAAGTAGCTGTAAACTTTCTTCTAAAGAAGCAGAAACGTCTCCCAGGCCAAAAGCACAATGCACTGCCGATTCCAGAACAGAACGATTGGACCAGGATGTAGAATTGTTGCCATCGGCTCAGAGTGGGCTGCTGACAAACGCTGACTCTGAAAATGCACCCGAGTGGTTCCATGCCCTTTCTGGTGAACACAGCAAGGAAGCAGGTTTGCACCTGTCCCTGCCTGAGAAATCACCTGAGCTCTGTGACAAGCCCTACCGAACCAGCAGACCAAGTGACAGTGCCACTGTGCCAGACAGCACAGGCAGCTGCGTTGCTCCAGTCTCATTTAGTTCTGTTATGGATGAGCCGGATTCTGTGGTTGTTGAAAAAGTGTCCAGAAATTTTCATAGCGAGCGGATCAAAAAAAGGAAAGGTGATGTTGTGGGTGTGGAAAACCCAAAAGAGAAGAGAGGAAATTTGACATCATGTAATCTTGACTGGAGTGAGCAAACTGCCTCTGGATTAGAGCTCGAGTTCTGTGCAGATAACCTCCTCTCACACAGCACACCTGTGGCAGTGAAAAGGCGTCCTTCCTCTGTAAGGAAGAGAAACGTAGCTCAGAGAGACCTTTCCGAAGACCAGCCCAAACCTCATGCTGACGAGGTCTCCGGTTCTGTGCGGGAAAAACTGAGCTGTTTTGCATTCCAGTCCAGAAGGAGACCAGTTCATTCAGTCTGTGACAGGGGTGCGATTGGCCTGTCTGCTGCACAGGACGATTTCCCAGTGACAGGAGAGTTAAGAGAGTCTGAAACACGTAAGGACAATGAGAAAGAGAATCATACAAGAGAAAAAAGATAATCCGTCAATTTGTAATACGAGAACAAAATCAACAAGTGTGGTATCTATCACTGAGGGAAGGTTTGAAATTGCAAACAATAATTACTTCAGAAATAACGATGGATTTTGTAATTCATTCCAGAGCCACTGATGTAAAGATTTACAATGTAATCTTTTTCCTGTACAAACATTTCTATCATTATGAAGTTTCATTCCCTCAGTGTATAACTTAAATACAATCCTTGAAAACCATTGCTTTAGAATTGAATGATTGTGATTCTGTACGGATGCTTTAGTTTAATTTGTGTTATTTTGTCAACCTATTGCAGGTGTAAATAATGAATATGCTTTACAGTTCCTCTTCCTGCTCATGCTTGGTTGATGTCTAGGGTTGATGTCTGCAGTAGAGGATGTTTTTACTGTCATTTCTGTCTTGGAATGTTCCATGCAGGTGCTTTTCAAATGTATCTATCATTCCTTATCTCATTACACTGAAATTGAAGATATAAAGAAAGCTCTTACAAGTGCTTGTATGTGTTCTGGTTTGTTTTGATTTCAGAGAGGGTCTCTTCTGAGCAATATAAATGCCTTGCACACATCTTTTCCTGATGACCCCTGTGAGCAGTTTCGCACAGTATGAAATTATCCTTGAAATGCTGGGGTTAAAGCACCTTCTCAACAAGGAACTGGAAAGAAATGTAATATTAATCATTTCAGAGTCGCTGATGTTAATATTTCCAATTTAATCTTTTTCTTGTGTAACATTTCTGACACTATGAAAATGAATTCCCTCAGTATATAACTGATGTACACCCCCTGAAGACCAGAGCTTTAGAATGATTGTGATTCTGTATGAATGGTTTTGAGTCTCCTGTTTAGAAAATCAAGTATTTAAACTTAGCAAAGGCAAACTTTGTTGGAGTTTTAGGTAAATTTATAAGAGTTCCAATTTATAAAAGGAAAAAGGCTTTTTTTTTTTGCTTGGTACCATCTTTAAAAAAATAACTGAAGAATTTAAATGAAAAGCACTGGCAGGAATAGCACAGCATGCTCTGGCAGTTTCAGGAAGTTTATTATTAATAAAGGCATCTTTCATTAGTAAAAATAGATATTCCTGTCCAGTTTTACCTTGTGTCTGCTGACATGGTTCTGGATATAAAGGCGCAGGGCTGTCTGAAGGGTCATTTTTTTCCCTGGGAAGTTGTGCTGTGGTTCTGCAGAGTGAAGTGCTGTCAAGGCTGTGGAAGAATCACAGGTGCTCTGTGTGTCAGGATCTAATGAGAGCAGAAGAACATGAAATTGTATTATGTGGGTCATTGGCAGCATGTAGAGCGCTTTAACCAGGTAATAACCCTTTTTTCTTTTGATTTATTTTAATTTTATTAAAGCTTCAGATGTGTATATCTTAATTGTCTCTTAATTTTGATATTGTCTGTAACATACAATTATTACCACTCCAAAGTTTTGTCTTTACGGACACCTGTTTTTAGTTTGCGGGAGGTGGAATCAGCTCTTTGGATTTGTGTTACAGTAAAGGTCAATGTCAGGAGGGAGCTGAAGATCACTGGTAAAAGGATGGGGTAAGATGAGACGTTAATGGCTGCTTCCTGCGGATGAGGCCACATCAATAATGGATATTGATGAATGAGTCAAGTTCCAAGCACAGAGAGAAAACGGGGGATTTGAAAAAAAGGAAAATGGGATTCTAGTAAAGTTAAAAGATGAGCTACGGTAACAGCTGGTTCATTCTAGAAAAGTTCATTTGCCTTCAGTTGTTCAGTTCAGTTTGGAAAGGTTTTTGCTAAACAATGTGGCAATTCATTTCAGGAAGAACCCTCAGACTGGATTTGTTGTTCTTTAAACTTACCTCAAATTGTGCTGTACACAATTTCTTACATCTAAAAAACGATGCAAAAAAGACTTTTTGGCTTGTATTTCACTACAATAAAATGGTAGCAGCAGTAGGGAATGCTATAGCCACTCAAGTCTTTATTGTAATGAGGACAGCATCTACACTAGAGCAGTATTCTGTCTGTATTAATACAGGTTTTTAATCTTAAATTTTGCATTACCATTCCTTTTTTACACCTTAAACACCTCTGTATGGAAGTGCCAGCTGATTCAGGTCACTGCTACACGTACCAGGAGGGTTTCTTGGGAGGAGTGTAAACAGCCGAAGTCTTTTTTCGTTCTGTGTAATCTCCATGCTTGGAGGCTACAAGCCACAGGTATTTTAATTCTGCTGAGGGTAGTCCCACACCTACCTTATCAGTCGTGACTGTTGTTGCAGGGATCCTGGGACCACAGGCAGTGAGTCACACAAACCAAACTGGAACAAACACAGGATCGCCGGCATCATGGCTCCTGCTTGGCTCCAGCTGAACACCATGGCCTGTTGGCTGAGTAAGCGTTTAGGTGCTGTGCATTTTAATAAAGGAAGACTTTGGGCCTGTTTTCATTATGTCCGGTCTTTAATGTTGCTATTTGCTTCAGGAGAGAGGAATAGATTCCCACAGCCTGAAATTTTTGTAATTAGCCAATATTGCATTTTGTTAAACTTGACTAGGGGAGGACGTTACTTTGTACTCTTACAAGTAATGCTCAGTTGGTTGAAATCTCTAAATGACAGGTTAATGGGTTTTGCTTGTACTGTAACTTCAGTCAGTAATAGACTGTCCATGGAACTATGCAACTCTGATTCATATCAGAATGCAGGATATTGAGTGAATAAGAAACATTTCATATCATCTTAAATATGCAAAACAAGTGAAATTTCAATATTTCTATAATATTTCTGATTTTAAACCTTTTAAAGCTGACTCTGAAATTGCAGGATCAAAAGGTAAACCACAGAGGCTATCACAGTTGCATCATCCTCCGGAAATACAGTATATTGTGGTCAGTTTATATTTCTATCTTGATAAGTTGCTCATAAAAGTTTAAAGGGATTCTAGATTTTGTGCAATGTTATGAAATATTCTCTTACTTTATATGCATTCATCAGAAAAACAAAATGCTTGGTATAACAGGTTTTTTACTTTTCAGTTGCAAGCCGTCTGCAATAAATGTGCAAAAACTGATGCTTTAAAGAAACCAGAAAGGAATAATTGCATAATGGTTTCCCATTGCTTTGCTTGTGCATCACGTTCCTTAGGTGGATGTGCACAGTAAGTGTGAAACAAAGAACAATGAATTCAGAGCTGCGGTGTTTCCCCGAGAATCTTCTGTTCTCCCAGCAGCGTCTTTGAGCTGTAAATTGCCTTAGCACAATCAGTAGGAGATTCCTTAACTTTAGTTAAAGTCAGTAATGGCAAAATAATGTATTCAGTATCAGTATGTGACCTGAGTAAACAGTTGTTGTTTTGCTGCAGTGTCTCTCCATTGAAGTGAAATGGAAAACAGTTCAGCTGGCTTAATGCTCCACTCCACATTGAAGGCTGTGTACTAATGGATGACAAATTAAATTAGTCGTTCATTCCTGTTCTAATTGTCAGGCAACTGATTTAAGATGTGCAGATCTGAGATGGGCATTTGACTCAGGTGGCCCTTCTGTGCAAAAAATATATGCTCTTAACAAGATTTATTAAACTTTCTCAATGTATAGAAGTGTAGTCTATATACAAGTCTATGTATTAAAGAGTGTGTACACATTTTTATTAGCGCACAGTCTACTGAGCACATAAATGTCAGTTTAACAACTGATGGCATTATAGCATCAGACTTCTCTCCCAGTGCTTGTTTTCTTGGCTGCAACCGATGCAGGGAATGGAGACCATGCTAAAGGATCCAATCTAGTTAGCAAGCACAGGACTTCTGGAAACAAAGCTTCATGTAGAATGTTTGGTAAGAACCTACAGGAATCTGTCCAGGATTTTATTTGGGAGAAGGTTACATATTAGTCTATTCTAGACCTACTCTGAAAGTTCTAGTGTCATAACCCTCTTTATCCTTTTTATAGTTTGATTTCATTCCTGTCTCGGGTCCGAACAGGTAGTGTAGATCAGTGGGACTAGGCCTAAATTAGATCTCAATTAAACTTGAGTATTAAGTGTAAGTACTACATAATTGAACTTCCACACTATACAGCACTGTTCTTAAAACATTTTCATTTTTTAAAAGAACATATTCATATAACAATTCATCAATACAAGTAGCAATACGCCTGTGTAAAGCAAAACACACAAGTGTAACTTTGGATGTGTTTATGACATTGAATTACACACTGTCATATAATACAAATACTGTGCATTCAGGTGCATTAGAGTTAGTCTGACATTATTCGCTGCTCTAATTCTTCAGTGAACCATGTTTGTACTTTAATGCATCGAAGTACATACTGTAATAGTGGTTCCTGTGTCGATGCTGAACTTGAATAAAGATGTTTTTTTTTGCAATGAGGTCAGTAATTAAGGTCTGGCATTGTGTGGTGTAGATACTTTCACTACAGGAGAGGCCAAACCATTTGATGAAGTGGCCTTAATGTCAAAGACACATGCATCAGTGTTTGTGTCTTGAATAAGCAGATCTATCACTTGGGTATTTTGTAAAGGCTAGAGGTTTTAAATGTATGTTACGCTCTATGTTTTGGAGACAAATTGGTGATTTTCTTTCTTTTTACAACTGTTTTCTTTGGAACAATTGGAAATATTGTTTTGAGGTAAGTGCCACATATGTTTTAGATAGTAAATGATAATGTCATGTTTTGCCATCTTTACCATGGGTGAGGGCAGTGCATTTGATTTTCTAGTTTTTTTTTTTATGCAGTAGCATAATTCACAATGCTAAGTGCTATACTGTATGCCCATGTTTAAGATCCCAGTAATACCCATGTATTGTTAGCCTGGTGGAATAGAGCTTGTCAAGAAATGTATATGATCTCTCATAAAGATGATTCACATTTGGTGAGGAGATGTACAGTAATTGCCGCCTAGCTTGAGTAATACTGGAAAGGCAAGATTCCTGCGTGCACGTGTCCTTCTTGACATGTTCAGACACATATTCACTGTCCAGGAATATCCAGCGACGGGTAGGATTTCGAGTGCATTTACAGTGTTTGTATAGAACAGGCATCAAGAAATGTTAAAGCTGATTATAACTGGACCACACATGGCTGCAGAAGTAAGCATAGCTGTCAAAATAGTTAGAACCAAGTAAATACAAAAATGCTTGAAATGATTCGGACAGTGCTATGTTATGATGTTCTTTATTCAAGTGAAGCTTAAAATAAAATGCTGTGTTATGATGTTATTAAACCTATAATTTACTGCTCCTGGATGTTTTTCTGAATCTGTGTTCAATTATGATGCCAGTAAGTTCTGGCTGACTGGCAGTGTGGTGCAGTGTGGAGGACTGGGTTAGTCTTCGCCTCAGGACATTGTCGGAGAGGAAGTGTTGTATGTGCAGAAGTAATGAAGTGCTACACTCCAGGCAGGGAGTATTGAACTTGCATGTGAAGATGTGTCCGTTCAATCAGGGCTTTAACAAAACAACCTGCTGTGGGTTCTCTAATAAAGAACCTGAAAGGCAGAAACATTTGCCATCTGGTCAACCAAAACAGGTCAACCAGATGGTAAACTCGTCTTAAGCTTGAATTCAAGATGAAAGTACTGTAGTCATTTCAGTGAAACCGTCTAGGGTTTTGAGTTGATAAGTCTGTTCCCAATGTGGAGAAATGTTCTTCATTTTAAGCAATTGGCACTTGCTAGGAATGCTTTTTTTGGTGGAAAGACTACTTTTCCAAAATCTAAATATTATTAACTAAATAAAAGGCTTCATTTTTGTATGTTTTTTTTAGAATGTAAATAATTTACCTAAAAACATTTTAAATACTCTTTCACTCTATTATAAAAGTGGTGTTTCGTGGCCCAGAGATAATGTTTTGGAGTTCTGCGCAGTATTTGTTTAGTAATTTATTTATAGAAAAGAAACAATGCTAATAATTCACAACTAAACACAAATCAATATTCTTAAAATGACGAAAGATTTTTGAAATTGTTCTTTTAACTTTTGAGCTCAGAAGAATTGCAAACCCTTGTAGTGAAAACGAAGATGAAAGCAGAATTTGAATTCAAATCTAGCACCTTTTATCTGTTACGTTAAAAGTGGTTGGCTGAAATTGAGTTCCTGTACTCAATTTCAGTTAACTTACGCAGAACCACCATCACTTCCTGACAGAGCTTCTGCATTGCTAGCT